TCCTGTGCATCTGTTGGTGCCGGGCACAGGCTTGGTTGCTGCTGCCGGTTGGGTGGGAACTGCAGGGACTCCTTGCCCGTTGCATGCCGGGGGTGCACAGCCTAGCTGCGTAAGGACACAGAGCAGGCAGACTGGGCACCCAAGGCTGGGGGCGGCGACAGGGCAGGCTGCAGAGGAAGGCAGGCAGGGGCCAGGTGCCGAGGCACCGTTAGAGGAGCTCCACGGGGCGTGGCAGGGATAGTCTGGGGTTTTAGAAAAGGCCACCTGGCTGCCCCTGAGAGCGCGGGCTGGAGGGGATGTGCTGTGGGCAGATCAGGGATAACGCTGGCCTTGAGTGTGGGTGGATCCTAGGCGGACTCCTGATGGCGGTTCTGAGATGCAGACAAGGGTGGAGCAGGTGTGGGGAGAGAGGATTTCGGCTTGGGCAGCACCCCGTGCCTCTGGCCTAACCATGTGCGGCCACACCGCCGTCTCCTGCATTCCGATCTTCTTCCAGAAGGTTTTTGCTGAGGTTACAGAAGGAACAGGGTGCCCTGGACCTGTCAGAGCGGGGGGAGATTTGTGCTGGGCTCCGGGCCTGGGAGGCGCAGCCCTCGGTCTGCCTGCCGGACCGTGATGCATCCCACCTGCCGTGAAGTTCTCAGGCCCTGAACCCTGCACGGGGGTGCAGCCTGGTCCCCCCGTCTTTCTCCAGCTCCACTCCGACGAGCTCTCCAAAGCTGGCTCGACATCAGCAGAAAACGGCGGGCTGGTTTTGGATGCGAAGCAGACGCGGTGCCATGTATGGCCATGTCCACAGCAGCATCTGGTCTAGGAGCCCCATTGTAGAGATGAGGAGAGGGAGGCCGGGGTGGGGGTGGGGAGCCTTGCCCTACCCACACGGCTGCTCCCCACACCTCAACAAGACCCCACCTCCTGTAGAGACGTGGGGTAGCTGCTGCCCCAGCAGATGGGAAAGGCTGAGATGTGGAACCACAGAAGGGCCGGGGACACAGCTCAGGGCATGGGGCAGGGAGGCCACACCCAGTAGGTGGAGCCTCCCGGCCCCTCCCCCTAAGCCTACAAAATGTAGAAGAGACACATCTCCCCAGTCAGAGTTTTGTTCCAGGACAACCTGGCTTTCCCAGACCTGCAGGCGAACGCCTTGCATGCTTCCAGTCACTCTCTGCACCACTAAAAACCTTATGCGGAGGAGGGCGGGGCTAGAAATTACTACAGCCTGTGCCTGCACCTGGGCCGGGCGCTCTGACACGAGGAACATGCAGCCAGGCTTCTGTGGGCCAGGGCCAGGGACGCTGGACTTCAGGTCTCACAGAGGCCTGGGCGTGGCCGTACTTGCCCCTCTGGATTAGCTCAGGGGTTTGTGTCCAAAAACGAGGCAGATGTCTCAAGTATTTTACAACGGAATCCCACAAGCCACTAATTCTGTTTTCCTCTCTTATCACTTTGCACACACGAAATCTACTTTTAATTAGCTTTCAACGGGTAAGCTAAAAAAGAAAGAAAACCCCACAGCTTGTTCCCGCCCCCAAACCATTCTTAGAGACAGAGAGACTTAGCTCGCAGGCTTCTTAAGAAATCTATATGTGCGCAATGCATTTAAATAACGCTCATTAGTGCGAACCGCACGCAAGCCGCCTTCGCTAGTCACCCAGAGAGACGATCTTGACCTCCTGCAAATCAAAAAGCGTTCACACACCGCCTTTAGGTTTCAACTGGTTAAGTTTTAAATTAAAGTCCCAGTGCCCTTTTTTTGGGGTGGGGGGAGAAGCCAGACTAATAAGAACTCTGGCTGAAATTTTAGCTCAGTCGATTGGAAGATAATTACAAGAAACAAAATGTGAAATTTTAAATCGGGGCACTAATGAAGTCTAAAAATATCAGTGGCCCAGCCCTCTGCCTGGCAAGACCTGTTCTTCTTGGAGGGGGTCTCTCCGTAATTACTCAACCCCGGGAGAGGCCAGCTTGTCACCTTAGACAATGGCAGGGAAATCTTGGGGCTTTAATGAGCTAGATCGCAAGTTGTGTTCTGCGGTAGATCTGATTAGAATACCGGGCAAGCTTTCAAATGGAAGGGAGGAAAGGAAAGTTCCTTCTCTCTCTCTCTCTCTCTCTTTTCCAGTGGAGTTCTGACTTGTGTTGCTGCATCACGCAGGGCCTCCTGCTCCTGCCTGGAGCCAGCTGTCTGTCACTTACGAGTGTGAAATCAATTGGGCTTCGGAGATGTAAGATCCCTAGTGGCAGAATTAAGAGTGACCCAGATGCAAACCCACGCGGTCCTATCAGGAATGTGACTGTCGCCTGGTGAGTTTCAAAGATCTGGTTTCAAAATTTGAGTTTCTGATTTTTAAAACAATCTGGGTGTCTGACATTAGATCTGACAAATTTAAGACTAGAAATGAAAGGAAAAATCACTTAAATAAGAAAAGAAAAAAAAAAGTCACCCCAAACCCACCCTGCTTGCGCCGGGAGATGTTAGCGGGTGTTCCTGTTGCTGTCTTCCCATGAACATCGCCGACAAGGCCGAGAATAGAGAAGTGAGTTAAACGCGACTTCTGGGGAGGCGGCTGGCTCACTGGCCACCTAGGGAAATTGGCGTGGAGACGGGTCAGGGCTGTCCCCGGCCAGAGCTGGAGGACCTGGGCGTGCCATTAGGCGGGGCCTAGCACTTGCTAGGTCTAAGCCTCCTGGCCCTCACCTGGTGCTAGGTCCCACCCGGATCCCCCCTTCCCCTCCCCTCCTGTCTGTGGGCCGGGGCCACCACGGAGGGTGTTTCATGCCCTCCGGCCCTGCATGGATGTTGATGTCGCAGGAGCAGCTCTGCAGTGGGCCCCTGAGCCCTGCGGTCCCAGACGGGGGCCTGGCCCTGCCACCTGTGTCTTCCTGATCTCATGGCGTTGGGGCTTGCACCTGCAGCTTTGGTGAGGCAGGTGGGTTGCAGCTGGGGGCCCAGCGAGGGCCCCTCAGACATGGTACAAAGTCCTTCACAAGCAGGCTGCCAGCTGTGGCCGGAGAGCCGGTCTCCAGACCGATTGGCATCTCCCCCACTAACAGCTTCTTGTGCTGCTCGTGTGACCTTGCGGCTTTAAATCACCTTCAGGGTGGGTGCAATCCTGCACCCAGAGCTGGCTGGGGAAGGGGCTGAGCACCCAGGGGGAGTCAGGCCATCTCCAGGAGACCCCCGCTATCTCCCCGAGCCCCAGGCCAATCAACACGTATGTGAAACCCCCATCCAGCGGGCACCCCCAATGCACAGACAGCAATGCCTTAAAAACCCAGGATTCTTCCTCATAGCCAGTGTCCCGCTCGGGCGCTCCGCCTGCTCTCCTCTTGGACCAGACGCTTTTCTGTCAGATAAGAGTTTCTGCCTCTTTGCAAACGGTCTCCCGGCTTTTTATCTCTATACAAAGCTGAGGAAAAGAGCCCACGAAACTTGCTCCTGCAACGGCCTCCCTGCCACAACTGGTAACCCGGAGCCCCCAACCATGAACTCCAGGGGTGTCGGGGTCACTTCCTTTTTGCACAGAACAAGTCCTTCTCCTGGTTGCATGCCTGGAACTCGGCCAGCCAGCCAGACCTTTTCTCAGCTCTGGGAAGCTCCCCAAGGAGCGGGGAGGTCAGGGCCACCCACCCAGTGCCTTGCGACTGCCTTCGTCACAGCCTAGGAGGGGACAGGTGGCCCCCCCACTGCCTTGTGTGTCGAAGTTGGTGGCTGATGAGCTAGAAGTTTGTGTGTGTGTGTGTGCATGTGCACTTGTACTTGTTTTAAAGGGAGAGGGAGCTTAACTAAAACAATTCCAAAAAAAATCAATTTAGTCAATTTTTTTTTTTTTGCACAGAAAGATCCCAAACAATTCTAGTTGACTAGAATTTTGATGTAATTTCCTATACTTTTGTCATTTAAAATCAGAGCTTGATTTCTAAAACCAAGGCAGTTGGGGCTCCACTGGACTGGGATGAAACCCCACAGGGATCTCAGTGTGAGCTTTGCTGCTGGGGGCTTGACAAGGCCTGGACATGGCGTGAGAGGATGGAGACAGAGACTCCTGCAGGCAGGCAGGAAGGCTGTGGCCGGCTGGCTTCGCTGCCCTGCTACCACCTCCCCCGAGAAGCTGTGCCCAGCTACAGGACCTTTCTGGGGCTGCGCCCTCTCCCCTTCCACAGGAGGTCCAGGGGATGCTCCCACCTCCTCTGCCTGTGCAGACCCTGCTTGCCTGGGGTGCTAAGTGGGTCAGACAAACCTGGAAACCCCACACCCATGGGCCCTGGTCCTCCACCTGCTAATGGACACCAAGAGTGAGTACCTGGGGGCACCCTAACCCTGAGCCTGACTCTGGAGGGTTTGTGCCTGCACCCAAGACCTGGGTGCACCTGCCCCAGACTGTGTTCTTAAGGGTTTTCCTTTGGGCTCCCCCGGGGCTGGCTCATTGAAAGCGAGGCTGGGGGTGCTCCTTCCCAGAGTCTCCTCAGCCAGCCTGGGGTCCTTGGAACAAAATGTTCAAGCGGCTCAGGGTGGCTGGGACTGTCTCCTGGGCTGTGCTAAATGCCCTGGTGCTGGCTGCTCTTGTTCCCTGGCCCTGGGACGACACTGTCCCAGGGCGTGGCACAGAGAGTTCACGCTCTGAGTGTATATGTGGGTGCAGAATGGAGAAGGCCATCATGGCACTGTCCTGTGGCGTCCCAGAGGGAGGTTGGCCTTGGGTGAGAGGCGAGAGGGCCCCAGTGCTCAGCTGGAGGGCACAGGCCTGTGGACTTTGCAGGTTCTCCCTTCCTTCCCCTCGCGGCTCCCTCTTCTTGCCCGGGCCCGTATTCCCACCTTCCACAAGCCGCCCTCCTCTTCCCTCCTCTGCCCCCTCTGTGTGAGGCCAGGCTGTCCCCGGCAGGGGATGGCCCTGCTGCAGCCTTGGGGTTGGGCGAGGCCGGTGGAGGGGCCGGGCGCAGCACGTGCCTGTCCTTGCATAACTGGGTGGGGAGGCGCGGAGGCGGGCAGCAGGTCTTACCTTTGGGGTGCCCCGGGTCGGTGAACTCATACTTCCCCACGCCAATGGTGCGCAGCATCTGCAGCCCGTGGGCCGAGTCGGCGGTGGGAGGCCCATTGGTGGCGGGGGCACCGCTGGGAAGAGTGGCAGACGGCTGGGCCGGCGGCGGGGGTGGCAGCAGGGGCCCTGCCATGTGGCCATTGCCCACAGCAGCAGGTCCTGGGCGTGCCAGCTGGCCCACACCGGGCAGTGTAGACACGGCCAGGGGCTGAGGGCTGGCGTACAGGGCCTGGGCAGGCATGTTGACCACCACACTGCTCAGCGGCTGGGAGGGCGGCTGCGGGAGTGAGTAGTGGCCCGGCATCAGCGGGAGCTGGGGCCCCACGTGGGGAGGCAGTGAGGGGGTCACCCCGATGACCGGGGCCTGGACGTTCACGGCCGGGCTGAAGGTAGGAGGCTGGGCCACTCCATAGGAGTGTGCAATCAGGGCGGGCTGGCTCCCGGCGGCTACCGTGGTCACCCATGGCCCTGTGCCTGCAAGGGAGGTAGAAGAAACAGCAACCTCTGGTTACATGGTCACTCAACAAACACCAACTTCCACAGGCCCTGGGCTGGGTGCTGGGGTCTCAGAGGTGGACCAAGACGTTTGCATGGAGGAAGTCACGGCCCAGGAATGTGTGACTAGGGTGGCCCAGGACATGCGCCTTAAGGGGATCAGGACGGATGGTCAGAGGGCTAGCAGGAGGAAGTGACATCTGCCTGGTAGAGATGAGAGGCAACAGAATGGGGGAGAAAGAGCACAGACCTTCAAAGAGAACTGGGTCCTAATCTCAACTCTGCCGCTTGCTAGCTATGGGCACGGACCAGCTGCCTGTCTTCCCTTGAGGCTCAGTGTTCTCATCTGCTCAATGGGGCCAGCAACACCTCTCCCCCTGGGGCTACTGGGAAGAAGGAGATAAGGAAAAAGTGAGAAGCAATACCGCAGCAGAGACCCACTGCAGGCAGCTGGGGACCGAGCCCCGTGCGGAGACGCGGGTGTTGCTGGGGCTGCGTGGAAGAGCGCTGGAGCCTGGACCAGTGCGTGTGCCCTGCCCTGAGAAAGGCGAGCCTGGGGCAAGGCGGCCATGCTGGGGCCTGCACAAACCGGGCAGGGCCAGCCCTGGGGGCAGCATGAGACCCTGTTTGACCCTTAGGGGAATCTGGGTGGAGCAAGGGGGTGCAGACACCCTGTTGAGACCTGACACGAGACCTGGACAGCTTCCCCCAGGTCAGGTTCACAGACGTGACTTGGGGGGTGATCGGCAGCCAGAGACGTGGGGTCAATGGAAGACGGCGTGGGTTTCCGCCGTATAAACGGGTCTCGTCTGAGGCTCAAACGCTGCCAAGCTTTTGTGATTCCTCTGGGGACCCTGAAGGGAGAGGGGGGCTGGGGACTACTCAGGACCATCAGCCCTAGCTGGGGTCACGTAGCGAGATTAGAATGTGCAGCTGTGGGCAGCTGGGCAGGGAAGAGCACCGGCTTCTCCCAGAAGCCTCTCTGGAAGGTGGGCTTTGAGAGACGGGCTGTGGACCGGAGTGCTGGAAGCGACCCTTTACAATCATGCAGAGCCTCTCACTGCCTTGCTCTCCAAAGAACTTTCCTGAGTCACAGAGAAAGGGGTGGAGATGCAGCCACTGCCCAGGGAATGACACACAGGGCCCCCAGTCCCCCAATCTGCGGGCCCAGGGGGCAGGACCTGCTGAGGAGGAGCTGGGGCACCCAGGAAGCCGGGCCCTGGGCACAGGTGCCTCTGTCTGCCCACCCCCATACACACCTGGATTGTCGCTCTCCCGCATCTGTTTGGAGGGTGGCTCGTCGGTGTCCCAGGGCGTGGACTGATTGATGGGCGTCTGCCCCCACCGGATGCTGGTTGCCAGCCCCTGGGACTGATTGTCCGCTTTGGAGATGCCGGGAGCCTGCGGGAAGCAGATCGGGATGGTGAGCGCAGCCTGGGATGGACCCGCTGCCCTAGGACCTGTCCCTCAAAATAGGACTCCTTTGGCCCAAGCTTTGTCCTCGGAGCCAAGACGCCAGAGGCTGAGACCTGGCCCCATGGGGGAGTCCTGAGGAATCTGGCCAAGGGGTAGCAGCTGTGGCCTCTGCTGAGCTCCTGGCTCTGGCAATTCCAGCCCAGTGCCTCCTGGGCCCACCCACCGTCCCTGGCAGAAAGCACGCCCCTGTGCTGTGACACATGCGCCCCTGGGGCTCGGACAATCAACACACCACAGCAGCGCAAATGCTGCCGACTTAGCCCAGCACTGACGGTGCACTCAGCCCAGCTCACTGGCACCGCCCGCCTGGCCCTTTGACCAGGTGCGAGTAGTCCCACCGTCCCCCTCCTGGCCCCACTCCAGCCTCTGAGACGCAGATGTCTCTCGGAGGAGGCTGGGGGTGGGGGTGGCAGCTCAGATCCGGCCCCAGATCCAGGTGGGAGCCAGGGCTCCTGGGTGCAGGCAGGCAGGCAGCCGGTTCTCTGCCCCACGAGCTCATTAATCTATGCATTTAGATCAAGGGGAGGCATGCAGACATCAAGGTGAAAACAAACATTGGGACGGCGGCGCTGGTCTCCCCGGGTTACAGCCTTACGCTGGGAAACTCACGTTTTCTAAAAATTCTTAATGTGATGGGAGAACGCTTACATGGTAACGTTCAACAAGAAAAGCAGGCCACAGAATGATACATGTATGACTTCTGTATGTAAACATCCTCACACACGACAATACACGCAAGGGGGAAATGACCAGAGTGGGAGTAGGGATGCCACCCTCGGTGGGGGCAGGGGGATGGGACTTTTGGCTTCAGATACAGTTTCCTGTATTTGACAAAGTGTCTAGTATGCCCATTAGTTTTTTTTTTTTTTTTTGACAGGCAGAGTGACAGTGAGAGAGAGAGACAGAGAGAAAGGTCTTCCTTTGCCGTTGGTTCACCCCCCAAATGGTCGCTACGGCCAGCGCGCTGCACCGATCTGAAGCCAGGAGCCAGGTGCTTCCTCCTGGTCTCCCATGCGGGTGCAGGGCCCAAGCACTTGGGCCATCCTCCACTGCCTTCCTGGGCCACAGCAGAGAGCTGGACTGGAAGAGGAGCAACCGGGACAGAATCTGGCACCCCAGCTGGGACTAGAACCTGGGGTGCTGGCGCCGCAGGCAGAGGATTAGCCTAGTGAGCCGCGGCGCTGGCCACCCATTAGTTATAATAAGCAAAAAACCAAAAAACAAACAAACAAAAAACCCTTAAAAATACATTGGAGAGGCGGGAATGGGAAACTTGGGAAGTGAGGGGTGTGGGTCCCAGAGAAGCCGCTGTGGGCAGAGGCATCGCAGTCCCCTGGCCTGAGCTGGGCCCACTGGCCTGAGGTGGGAGGGGGCAGAACCAGCTATCTAGCAGGGATAGACACAGGCCCTCAGTCCTGTGGTGGCTTCTAACTGAACCTGCCCCTGAGCTGGCTGGCGGGAGGCAGAGCGCCCTGCTGGCCCTGACTCCTGCAGGGTCTCACGGCAGGAGCAGAGCAGGGGGCACGGGCAGGAGGGGCATCACGCCAGGGCCCTGGGTGTTTTGTGCACAGTGCACACGGCGCCTGCGTCAGGGCCTGCCCTGAGCCCAGTGCTTTGGGCTGCTCTGTAGCCTGGGCCTGCTTTGCAGAGGCTTTGTGTCTGGGATCAGGGCAAGGAACAAAGGCAAAGAGTGACACCAGGAGGAACAACTCAGGGGGGAGCTTCCTTATCAGAGGCTCTGCTCCCTTTCTGCCCGGGGTCAGGGGGTGCACCAGGGGGCCTTGGGATTTAGCCATGCTCACCAGTTGTCTTGGGGAATAAGAGTGTGGCTTTCCCAGCATTCCGCAAAGAGACAACCTCCCTGAGTGCCCCGGCTGAAGCTGAAGGCACCCCCCTCCGCAGATCCTGGGGGATCCAGAGGGGCGGAGGCTGCTTCCCTCGGGGTCAGAGGTGTCCAAGAGGAAGGAGCCTGGGCCGTGGCTCACCCAGGGCCCTGTTTTTGGGCAGAGTTTGATTGCTGAGACTCCAGCCCCCATCCAGCATCCATCGCTGCCAATCCAGAGACCCTCCTGCTAGCGGAGGGTGCTGCCAGGAATCCTGACGCCTCCCAGGCGGGAGGCCACCAGCCAGCCCTGCTGAGTCAGCATCCATGCCCCAGCCGCACCTGCTCAGGTAGGGAAGGTTCTGGAAACTCGCCTTGGAAGAGCTCTATTGCTGGTAGAGGCAGCTGGGGTCTCTCTTCCTCTAGTTCAGGTCCCCAGGTTCTGTACTCTAAAACTTGGGGGAGTTTCTGAACTTGAAAAATTGCGGTTTTCCCAACATTCCTGTGGCTCACTTCCTTGCTCACGTGCTCCTTAGTCAGGTTGTTTTGTGCAGCCAACAAGTATCGGGCTTGGGTTCCGGTCAGGCACCACCCAGGACACTGGGGACCCTAGTGATTGACACTCGGCCATGCCCTCCCTCAAGCTGCTACCAAACTGCGGGCTGCGCATCATACCCCAGATAGGAGCCCCGGGGGGGCGGGGCTGGGAGGAGATTAAACGGGGCTCTAACAGGCCCGCTCTTCGCCCGGGTCCTCCATGCAGATTACAGGGATGCCGAATGTTCAAGAAAGCGGTTGCACTCTGAGAAGGAAGCCGTCTCCCTTTTTTCCCTGGGAAAGATAAATAAGCTGCTCGCATTCCTCCCGTCGCAGGCACCATCAAACGCTGCCAGCAACTTGCAGTTCAGGAATTTTATTTATTGTATTAAAACAACGAGGTGAATATCGCGTCTTCCCTTCTCTGCAGAGAAATGCACACAGTGCCATGGCCTGGCCTGGAGCCCCCTCCTCCCTCCAAGGGCTCCAGGCCCAAAGTAAACCCACAGGGACCCTGGTTTCTAGAGGCTTCTGGGGGCCGTGTGTGAGTCCTGGCTCCAGCTCTGCACTTGGCCCCTGCTGGCCTTTTCCTCCCATGGGCCCTGGCCTCTCTGGAAGCTCCCCAGCCCCCTTCCCTGCGCTGAGCACCATGCTTCCTTGCCATTGGTGGGGCGGGAGCAGGGTGGGGGTGGCTGCGCACACAAGCATGGCACAAAAACCACCCAGGGAAACAGCCCAGGGCGGCGGAGGGAGGCAGGGCTGAGTGGGCCTCCCCTCCCCAGCCCACTGCCCTCCGGGACCCCAGCCCTCTGGCCTTTCCCCAGCGCTGCTGGCACGGTTCTGTCCTGGTGACAGGATGGCACTCTGCAGACGGAGGCAGACGGGCCCCGCGGAGTGGCCCTCCCTATCTGCCCATCGCCCGGCCTGAGCGGCGTCTCTCTGCTTCCCCCTAATGAGATGCTAATGGGATGCATCATTAACGCAGCAGCTTTTTAAACCCTGAGCTCTTGTAAATCGTCAAAGGTCACATTTTCACGGCGGCTGACAGCACCCTGCTTCTTTCGGCGCCTGAAGAACACTGAAGACCCAGGTCCTTCGTGGCTCAGGCCCTCTTGGAGGCGACGGCAGAGGCGGAAGGTGCTGCTACTGGTGGGTGCTGGCACCCCCACCTCATAGTGGCCATGGAGGCCATGTGGCTGGGTGGGGGGAGCGGGGGACCCAGTGACCCACCCTCTTCTTTGGGGCAGGGCTGCAGGGCCGCAGGTGGTGCACGATGCCCAGGTCTGGCAGAGGGGGTGAGGGGGTGAGGGGCTGACAGCCACCAGGGAGGCAGAGGTACGTGAACTCCCATGGGGCTCCCTGAGCTCTGCACCTGCAAATCTGCAATGGCTCAGAGAGGCTACTTTTTGCTAATTTGCTCAGGGGCAGCTCTTTATTTCTATGGTGCACAAAGATGCCATCAGCTAGCAGCGTCTGGGAGTTACGGGGCAAGGGCAGGGAGGAGGGAGAGGTGGTCTCATCTCTATTCCCTGTGTACTTACAGTCAGACAATCACATAATTAGCACCTGCCCCTGGGGCCTTGCTCCTGACCCTGTCCTGGTGGCTGAGCCCCATGAGGGCAGTGGCTTCACACTGCACTAGGCCCAGTGGGTGCCCAGTGGGTGCCGGTGCTCAGGGGATGAATGAATGAATGAGCCACAATGCTGGGCACCAGGAGGGGGTCCCTCTTTCTGGGTTCAGTGAGCCAGGGAGTGCAGAGGGAATGCTTCAGGGAGAGTCCTAAGGCTGAGGCGTGCCACAATGTGGGTGTCCAGGCTGTAGGGCCCTCTGGAACTTGGGGCCCCGCCATTGCTGCCCTGGAGGCTGCTGGGCGCTGCTCAGAGGCCTTGCTGACCCAACCCACTGACCAATGAACCCAGCGGCCCCTTCCCACGTGCCTGAGTGCAGATGCAGGATGCTGAGGGGTGACTGATGCGAATGCAGTATCTCCCTGGCCTAAGGAGGTCAGAAGAAGGCGAATCAATGGAGCCTGGAGGTCAGGGGAAGCACTAGAAGAGCCGTCGCTGGCACTGGGCCACGAGAGCTAGGCAGGTTGCAGTACGGCAGACAGATTGGGGCCAAGGTCACCATCAAAGAACCCTGCAGGAACTGGCGCACTTCCAGCTCAGGCACATCCGACAGGCCGGGCTGCAGAGTCCGCTTCTGGGGTCCCATGGCAGAATGCTGACGGTGGCGGCACCCGTGGTCCTCTCTGGCCAGTGAACCTGCCTCCCAGGACAGGACCTGCTGGCTTCAACTCCTGGTCCCTGTGGTGTGGGCAGCGCTGGCAGGCACGCCTTCTGCTGAGGGTCCTGGCACAGCCTCCCCCCTGCCAGCCCCACGCGTCACAGCTGGGAGCCCCCACCGGGGCTCCCAGAGCCCCCTGACCCTCACCGTGCTTTTCTCCTGTGCCTACTCAGCAGTGCTCGGCAGTGGCCAAGCCCCTGCCCAGGAGAGACTCACACCTGTGGGATGGGTCCTTGTACAGGAGGCTGCTCGTTCCCAGCGCTGTGAACCGAGTGACAG